ATGAGCCAGAACAAGCCGGGCAAGAGTCTGATCGGACAGGGATACTATGGCACCAAAGTGCCAGAGGTCATCAAGAGGAACGTCCTCGAGAACCCCGCTTGGTACACTAGCTATACCCCATACCAGCCCGAGATTAGCCAGGGACGTCTCGAGTCGCTGCTGAACTTCCAGACTATGGTCTCGGATCTGACTGGCCTGAGCATTGCGAATGCGTCGGTGCTGGATGAGCCTACTGCGGCGGCCGAGGCCATGACCATGTCTATGGGCATGATGCCTCTGTCTAAGCAGAAGAGCAAGAACAAGACTTTCCTCGTCTCGGAGAGGTGCCATCCCCAGACTCTCGCTGTTCTGTACTCGCGCGCCGAGGGCTTCGGCATCAAGATTGAGGTCGCGGATGTGCTCAAGGACAACAGCAAGAGGGTGGAGGAGCTGGGCCAGGACCTTGTCGGTGTGCTCGCTCAGTACCCAGACACTGATGGAGCCGTCAACGACTTCCGCGGTCTCGCTGACAAGGTGCACAAGACTGGTGCTCTTTTCAGTGTTGCAACCGATCTTCTCGCCCTCACACTGCTTACTCCCCCAGGCGAGTTCGGTGCCGACATCGCTTTCGGAAACGCACAGCGGTTTGGTGTGCCTCTGGGCTACGGTGGACCACACGCGGCCTTCTTCGCCTGCGATGAGAAGTACAAGCGCAAGATTCCTGGCCGTTTGATCGGTCTGTCAAAGGACAGGTTGGGAAACCCTGCGGCACGACTTGCGCTGCAAACCCGAGAGCAACACATCCGTCGTGAGAAGGCTACTAGCAACATTTGCACGGCGCAGGCTTTGTTGGCAAACATGAGCGCCATGTACGCTGTGTACCATGGACCCAATGGCTTGACTGCCATCGCCAAGCAGGTCGTTGCGAAGGCTCGCACGATCCAACAAGCGCTCATCGCCAATGGCTACAAGACTGGCCAGCGCGGAAAGATGGACAACTCTCCCGTCTTGTTCGACACAGTCGTTGTCGAGACAGGCGACAAGACCGACGCCATCATCGCCGCACTCGCGAAGAACGAGATATTCGTACGAAAGATCGACGCCCATCATGTTGGTATCTCCGTCGACGAAACCACCGGTGCAAACACGATCAACAAAGTATTGAATGTGTTTAACGGAACTCGCAACAACTGGTCTTTTGCCGAATCTGTCGACATCGAGGTTCCTGAGCCGTTCAAGAGGACTAGCGAATTCATGACCCACCCAGTCTTCAACTCGCACCACTCCGAGACGGAACTTCTTCGCTACATCAACCATCTGTCTTCGAAGGATCTGTCTCTAGTTCACTCGATGATTCCTCTTGGTTCCTGCACGATGAAGCTCAACTCCACCGCAGAGATGGCACCTGTCTCGTTCGATACCGTTTCCAACCTGCACCCCTTCTTGCCTCTTGACCGCGCCACCGGATACTCTGACATGATCAAGCAGCTGGAAGACGACTTGGCCGACATTACCGGTTTCCACTCGGTCTCGCTACAGCCCAACTCTGGTGCTCAGGGTGAATTCACTGGTCTCCGCGTCATTCGCAAATACCTCGAGCAGCAGCCTGGCAAGAAGCGCGACATCTGCTTGATTCCTGTCTCTGCTCACGGAACCAACCCTGCTAGTGCTGCCATGTGCGGTATGCGTGTTGTACCCATCAAGTGCGACCAAGCGACCGGTAACCTGGACATGGCCGACCTGAAGGCTAAATGCGAGAAGCACAGCGAAGAGCTCGGTGCCTTCATGGTTACCTACCCCAGCACTTTCGGTGTCTTCGAGCCCAGCGTCAAGGAGGCTTGCGACCTGATCCACCAGCATGGCGGCCAAGTCTACATGGACGGTGCCAACATGAACGCCCAAATCGGTCTTTGCTCACCCGGCGAGATCGGCGCCGACGTTTGCCATCTCAACCTCCACAAGACTTTCTGCATCCCCCACGGCGGCGGCGGTCCCGGTGTGGGCCCCATCGGAGTAAAAGAGCATCTCTCGCCCTTCCTCCCCGGCCATCTCCGCGGCGAAACCGGTGGCGCACAAGCCATTCACCCCGTCAGTGGCGCACCCTGGGGTAGCGCCAGCATTCTACCCATCAGCTGGGCCTACATCAAGATGATGGGCGCCGTTGGCCTCACCCAAGCCACCAAGATCACCCTCCTAAACGCAAACTACATCCTCTCCCGCCTGAAGCCGCACTACCCCATCCTCTACACCAACGACGAAGGCCGCTGCGCCCACGAATTCATCCTCGACGTCCGCGGCTTCAAGGAAACCGCTGGCATCGAAGCCATCGATATCGCCAAGCGCCTCCAAGATTACGGTTTCCACGCCCCCACTATGAGCTGGCCTGTTGCCAACACCCTCATGATTGAGCCCACAGAGTCGGAGAGCAAGGCTGAGTTGGACCGTTTCTGCGACGCGCTGATTAGCATTCGTAAGGAGATCAAGGAGGTTGAAGAGGGTCAACAACCCAAGGAGGGTAATGTGCTCAAGATGAGTCCGCACACTCAGCAGGATCTTATTACGGGCGAGTGGCAGAGGAGTTATTCGAGGGAGAAGGCGGCGTATCCTTTGAGTTATCTCAAGGCGAAGAAGTTCTGGCCTAGTGTTGCGAGGTTGGATGATGGTAAGTTGTCTTTCGGTTCTTGAAGTTGTTGGGATACAGACTAACAATGTATTAGCATACGGCGACACAAACCTCTTCTGCACATGTGCGCCTGTCGAAGGCGAGGACAGCGATATCACTGGTGCTGCCGCGCCTACCCCAACCTAAAACCTTTCACCCTCACCACGGGTCCGACTTCTTCTCAACGATTTCCTTTACTCTTTGCATCAAAGGTGCGGGGCTCTATCGGATAGGCCTCTTTCTTCAACAAGCACCCCCAGCGTGGGTGTTCTGGCGTCTTTACATTTGCATCACCTTGGCTTGGCTTCAACACTTGCTGGTCGATGAATTATTTTCAGGATGGGGTTTATGAATGCATATGTGGCGTTTTTTTGCTGGGTATAGATGGTGCTATGATAGCTTGGGAATGAGATGATACTTCATGATGCAAAACGTCGTGTTTATCGAGTGATTGATGTGGCTTGTGTGACGTGGTGGAGATGGTTGCAAAGGGTGCTGAAGACCTGCGGCCAGCAGCGCGGACGGTGCGCGGACTTTGGGACTCACGTGCATGATCGCGACTAGCTTGGTTGTGTGCATATAAAAGCTTCGTTTATGCTGTCCACTTGTCTCTTTCTCACATCACATCCTTCTGTGTTTTTTCCAAAAGGCTATCCATCTTCGGTCCATGGCGTGACCAAAAGATCACCCGTAGCGAATTATGGGCGCTCTGTCTCTTCCTCCTCTCCAAAATACCACACCAAGAGCTCTAGAGAGCACTTCAATGTCTCTCCCGCCTCCTTCCTTCTCAAAACGTACATCCTTCGTACGGATGGTGTCTTTGCCTGCCTTCTTGCGATAATTCAAAATCAACTCGGCGTCGCTCATGTTCTTCGTCTGCCAGAACACACCTTTCAGCATTCCTATGGCCGTGCGGTCTCTCCTCTTCTCTACAACATTCCCAGGGTCGGCGACCAAAACATATAGCACATGTCTTTATGTTTGCGGCCTTCTCTTCTCGATAAAAAAAACGTCGGGTCCACAGGTATATGGTGTTCTCCAACTCTGCCTGGAGTTTTCCAAAAAAGAACGATATTGGGATTATGTGTTCGCCTGGCCGAAACCACACCCAGAATATTTTAATGACTGATCTTCTTCTCTTCTCCTCGTCCATCTCTGAGAAGCGGGAACCAAAACATGGCTTAACATGTCAGATGCGTCCCGCGTCTCCTCCTTTACCAAAAAACAGAAGACGATTGCACATGGCGCTCTCTCGCCTCTCCTGGAAACCTAAAACTACCCTAGACGTTTCGAATGTGCTTCCAGTATCGAAAGCAAACTGCGCCACCGCTATGTCTGTCCGTCTTCCTTTCCTGAAAATGCCAGAGAGCCACGTCATGACCCAGTCTAATCCAAAAACGTTTTTGCAGACTACATGGGCGTCGGTGGACTAGAAAGACCCTTCGACCTGGCCATGTCTTCTGAAAAAGACTATCAAATCGGCTACATGATCGGAAAGATTCGTATAGCCTATGCATGTCCGGAAACAGTAGTGAAGAAACAGTATGGGCGCTGAGACTGCTTCATGCTGGCTACATGTCCCGTGGATATACCAAAACACAACCGGGATGTGTTCATGTTGGTAAAATCAGGAGAATTACTGGTCATGACTGTGCTGCTCGCACTTCCTGTAACTCATGGCTAAAGTGTGATCGGTGGAAAGAGGCTAGTCAGCGATGAGGGCGTGTATAAAGGTTGCGAGATGATGGGTTCTTCCCTCTTCTTCTTTATCACTCACTGCTTCTTGCGGTTTATCAAAATGTACCAGGTCTTCTGTTATGGAAAGATTAAAACTGGAAGAGTTCTCTGCTATGACTGCTGTGTGGCGAGACGTTCTAAAAAAAAGCAAAGAAACTCAGCATGAGTTTTCTTTCTCGACTTTGGCTTATACACATCCATTGACGAAGCTTGAGCGTCAAACAGTTCAAGATATACATCATAGTTACGAGGATGCATCAAATGACTTTTCATTCATGGCTTCCGAGGTCGTCTCCGGGCTTGGCGCCCGCCGCCCGAGAACCTCGCCTTCAGCCAATCGTTGCCGCAAGTACGCGGAGGGCCTGTTTTCTTGTGAATTGTGTTCGTTTGGAAGTCTACAAGCTTCATTAACACTCGTGTACTTGACCAAATCCATGCATCAAATCACAGTCGAAATCGAGGCTGCTTCTTATGACTGACACCCACATCATCGAGCGACACTCTCACGAATGAGAGAAATCGCAAGTATAATATACTGTCATCGAGCGACATCATCGCATATACACAGAGCTCTTACGATGAACCCCATCATTTTGCTTGCTTCGGAATTTCCACAAATCCATCAATCCACATTCGCAAAGATAGCATCCGCAATCGCCTGATCCGCCTCTCTACACAACACCCTCACCTCCTCCTTTACGTACGATTCTTGCGCAAAATACTTAAAACTCCTCCACCACTCCCTCCATCTTCCCAACGAAAAACCCGGGTTTCCATCCCAAAGGTCCGTGTGCACCGCTATCCCTCTCTGCATATCGTCTCCAAATATCGAGTTGTCCAAGCGATACATATCGCGTCCGCCTATGATGACCCATCTTGCGGCGGCGGTGAGGTCGTAGTTGAGAAGTTCATTGGCATCGATTGCGGAACGCTCGAGGAAACTAGGGCGGATGTGTTTTTCGAATTCCGCCTCTCTCGGTTCTCTTTTCGTCTCAAGCGTTTCCCTCAGACAGAAGAAGCCGAACATGAAGAACCTGTCGTCGTATCCAGAGGTGGCCAGTTTGACGGTGAAAACGTTGTAATTAACCCATCTATCACCCGGCGTAGTGGTTGCTTGCTTATCTTCCGGTTTCCAGAGATATCGCAGTCCGGATATGCCGTCATAGTTTTCCCGGTGCATAGATTCGAAGTGGTAGTAGACTGGGTTTGGGGTGGGTGGTATGCTGCGGATGGCGGGGAGGAGGGCAATAATAGGGTCGTGTGAGGTGGAGAATTGTGCGACTGTGTCTAGGAGTAGGTTTGTGATTTCAAAACCGGTGTCTGCGGGTTTTGATGAGGCGTTGACAGAGGTTACGATTGCTGATGCGGTTGATGCAGGTGGGGTGTCTGTGGTGCTGGAGAGATAATCTGAGAGGATTTTGGTGCATTCCTTGAGAGCGGTATCACCGGCGCTCGCCTTTTGACCAAACCATTGATCCATACTGGATAGTTTGGGTTGTAAAGGTTGTTGGGCGAAAGTGGTGAGGCCGCGTTCTGCTGTTGTCCCATTAGCGGAGAGCCTTCGCTTGTTTCGGCAAGGGCAGGGTTGAAAGCGCCACACTTGCGCAGCAACATTCAAGCGCCCTTTCGCCCTTTCTCACATCAAGACCGACCTACATCTCGGTATCCGGGTACCATTTAAAATCGCCAACCGCAAACCTTCGTAGCCACATGGCAACCTTCCACCCCTTCCCTCGTCTGCCCTACGAGCTGCGGATGCAGATATGGGAGATGACAGTTGAACCCCGCATAGTGGAGGTCAAAGTTCGTTGTTATGACCCAACTCAGGATAATAGCTTTGGTTTTTCAACTACCACGCCGGTACCTCCCGTTCTCCAAGCATGCCGAGAAGCACGAAATTATGGACTGTATAAGAAATGTTTCTCTGAGCTAGCTCTGCCTAACTACGGAGCGCAGTAAGTATTCACATAGGAAAAAACAAGACGATGCATGCTAAGTGGCGATGTGGCATGTAGGTACGTGTGGGCTGACCTCGACATCGACACTATTGATATCGGAGAAATTCGTTTCGATTTATATCAAGAAGTCGCCAAGTCCATTCGCTACCTGAAGTTCTCTATCGACATGGAGTCGTTTCGCTATCATAGTAAAGGCTTCCGAAACTTTGTGAATGTGAAGGCAATCTGGATCGTGCCTGATTATGGACTCATCCACTGTGTTGGAGCTACAGAAAAACACTATTGGCCTTGCGGTGAAGAAAACGTGTACTATGTCGATCCAAGGAATCCTGAACGAGTTTTTCGAGGCCCTGATGGGGAAAAGGAGATTTATGCTCTCTATGGACCCTATGGACCTTATGGACCCAACGCATCATGATATTGCGATAACTCGTTGTCGGCAACCTCGCCAACGAGCCCTCCCGACTAGTCTCTGAGAAGTACTACAATGAAAGAACTGTGAACGCAATGCGTCACCAGAACCGAGATGAAGGTCTCGCATTCTACTTGGGGTTCTCAGAGTTAAAATAGGTCGAAGAATGGAACTTACACTGCGAAACGGTTGGGTGCGAGCAAAATGGCTTTTATTTGAATATGCGGGGCTGTCTAGTCACGACTACAATAAACTCACTCCGTTCCTATACTCTTCCTGGCACGAAGCGTACTTAGGAAAAGCTCACAGGTGCAGACAATGGCAGTCTTTCTGATATGGCGTACGACCAGTAACTTCTGGTTATTGCCTTCACCTCAATGGTATGGCCCTTGGCCGCTCAGCTTGTCCTCGCATACGTATTTCTCTGGCTCTTGCAACCGCTCAGACTTCAATCTCGTATGCCACAATGTAAGTGCCAGCACATCGCCTTTTATGCTGTACATGCCAAGCGAATATGAAGCTGCTAACTATATGCGGCGTAGTTCTCGCACGTACACAGTAAGGGAGGCATGCGCCATGCCAGGGTCTGACCGTGCCGCACCCTGACTGTTCCGGACTTTATCGACCTTCCCGTTACGTCTACCAGATGTTGGATGTCGTGAATTAAGCATTGCACTAGCACTAATTGCAACCGTTACCGTTGCTCCCTTGTGGCCGCTAATCATTTCCTGCGCGACTTCATTCCAAAATTCGCACCACACTCGTTCTATCCCACCAGAATCTCACCATGAAGTCGCTCTTTCTCTTAATCATCGCTCTGCTAGCCCGCCAAGTCATCTCCACAGGCTCGCCCCTGTATCAATACGACCCCAACACAGTAGAAGACTGCGTCGAATGGTACAACAATGGCGAAGGCGATACCTGCGAAAACGTTCGCAAATTCTTTGGCATCACCCCAGAGGAATTCGCAGCCTGGAATCCTTCCCTAAACCTTGACTGTGAACCATGGCATCCATCGGTATCATATTGCATCGTTACCGAGACGAAGCTGAACGCGACAACCCCAACGACGACATCGTCCTCGCCGATACCTCTCAGTACGACCAGTACCATTACCCTCGCTCCGTCCCCGACCGTTTGGACGCCACTCGGGTGCTACGAAGAGGACTTCGCCATGCCGATTCTCGAACAGAACATGAGCCCAGATGGCGACTCCTCCCTCACCATTCCAGAGTGTAAAAACAGCTGCTATCGTGGGGGTTTTGGTTTCGCTGGTGTACAGCACGGCAACCAATGTTGGTGCGGTAGCTATGTTGGCGGCAATTGGGCGAGTGATCAAGCGAGCTGCAGTTTGAAATGCACTGGCGATGGGGAGACGTTTTGTGGCGGAAGTGGGTTTCTCAGCATCTTCAAGGCTGAGGAAAACCAAGAAGCTGTTTCTGCGACCGTTTCTACCACTGCCACTGGTACTGGATCTGAGAATGCATCTGACAGCGCCTCCGCGACCGCTGCCGTGTCTAGCGCTGCTGCCAGCAAACTCGGTGTGATAGTGCTGAGTGGAGGCTTTTGGGGACTACGAAATACATTCTAGTCGATACATGTCCCACTATTAGCTACTTTGACAGACACAATGAACGAGATGATTCACATTCGCATCAACCATGGGAAGAAAGCACGACGCCGTAGCCTCTCAATTTGGGCACGCTCACTGCCATCGGCACGTGTAGAAGTTTGGCACTAGGGAAGTGGATATAAAAGGCTTGCGTTCTACCACCCGTTAATTCTTCCATCACTACCAAAACTTTCCGTCGTTTCTTCAAAAACATGAAAATGCGAATGCATGTCTGCGGTTCCAAAAGTTGCATATCCAAGAATCAATGTGGCTCTCCTCTTCGCTCGCCCCGACACAAAACCAAAAAGGTTCATTTCCGACTTCTATGCTCCTGCCCTCCACTCTTCCAAAAAGACTCAAAGTCCAAAACCCCTTCAGACTTTTTTTATGTCGGTGGACCAAAGAAACCCGGGCAACCCCTCCATGACTTCGATATTACGACCTGCGGCTACTAAAAGCGCGACGACTGAACAGGATGTCTGCGCTGTCCTTCGTCCTTCTTTCCCCAAATTAAAAGAAACCATCAAGAGAGAGCGGTGATGACCGTCGCTTCTCTCGTACATTAAAACTACTACTCCTACTTCCTCCTTCCTTCCTTCATCGACATACACCTCGTCAGTGTTTTACCAAAACGATACGCTACTGACCCCATGTGGTGGTCTTGGACTGAAGGATCCTCAATATCTTTGAATGTTCCTGCTGTCTCTGGACTGCGCAACCAAAAATTACATCATACCAGACCGATGACTGTCTTCCCGCTCTTTCCCCCAGAAGCAAATGAGGAATTCAGAATCTCTCACTGGCTTCACATGCAGTCCAAAACCGAAAATAAACACTCGGGAGAACCATGTTGTTCGGCTTCGACTCAAAATCCCCCATCCGGAGTTCTATGATCTGGTCTCTCGTCTCCGCCAGAGTCTAAACACTAAGTATCACTATTTATGCTGTATGATCGAGAACTACCAAAAGATATCGTCACGCGATTTATGAAAGTGTCCCTCGCTCAAACAACAGTCATAGCTTCTCATGCTTCTGCTTCCTCTTCCTCCATCACCGCACTTACTCGACAAAGCAAGTCAATACAAATCTCCACTTCAATCGAAAATCAGGAGAACAAGAGACATGTGTGCCTCCAAAAACCGAAAGACCCCAAGTTATGTGTTCCTGGATCTTGTTCTCCCTCGTATACCAGATACCGGGTCCAAATGGCATGTTTTACTATCGCCTCACCTCCCCAGCAGTAGCAAAAGGCGTCGTACAGCCCCTGATGGCTGTGCCTCAACACACAAGCTTAGCGCATACTACGAAAAGCAGAATAAAAGCTTTCACGTTCATGTTCCATGTTGTTCGGTTGAGCAGCGTTGAAGGATACATGTACATTCGGTCGAGCTGGAAGCACCCTGCAGTGTGGTGTATAGCTGCAGAGTGTACCGAGCACAACTGGAAATTTTCGGAAAAAAGATATGTGACAGTCTTGCCGATATGCAGTATCATGAAGTACCAGTATCGAGTCGATGATGCTGATCATCACCATGGTCATTCCTCGTAATTGCTCGTAAACGTCAATGGTTGCGGTGGCAATGTCTCCAGCCTGTCCAGTCGACACGGAGAAAAGGGTAGTAAAGTAGAAATGCATCATGTCATTCACATCTCTAGGGTACCACTACGTGCCTCAACAAGCTGCATCCGTCGCAGCTCTACTAGTACTCAGCAGCCACGCTCTCTCAAAGACAATCACTCTTCTTCGACCTCTTAACCGCAGCGCGATCAATCCTGGGGTCCAATCTGTTCATAAGATCACTCTTATGAGGATTTGTCGTCGATCTCGGCTCGCCTCTTGAAGAACTGGGTGGATCCACTCTTGCGTCTGAAGATCACAGTCTATTAGCATAAGCGCACGCCGAGGCTGCCGTTTGCTGGGCACCTTTGCGAAAGACATGTGGCGAGCCACCTTCAACGAAAATATGTGACAGCCTGCGGAGAGTGAACTTACGGCTTCGGCGGCGAGATATGCGATGAAGTTCGTCGTCCGAGTCGGGCGAGTACCTTCCCGACTCTGCTGAGTTCTCAGAGCCGTCATCGTACTGCGGTGCAGGCTCTGTGGTAGCGCGGTTTGGAAGCGGGTATTGTTCTGGTTCGACGTCTTCATCAAGCATGTTCAAGACGCTGCTTTGGTGTGTGGGTTTCGGCTGGTGGTAGGAAGGCTCGGGTTGGCTGTAGCCGGGACCACGAGCCGATACTTCGTCTGGCATATACGGTGCCGCCTGTTCAGGCGGATCAAGCTTCTGAGCAGCCTCGAGACCTGAAGCGCCGCTTATCGAGCCGCGGAGACGGTGGATGTTGGGGTGATCCGTGTACTTCATCGATTCTTCGTCCGATCCGACGGTGAATACTGGATCGAGCTTGTTCGCAGCCTCTAATCCGGATGAGCCGCCGATTGAACCGCGATGTTCGTGTGGAGGGTTTGGGTCATGCTGGGATTCGTGTGGCGGGTGCCA